GACTACTTAAATTAGGTACCAAAAGTACACATGTGGCTAGTTGTATCCTCGTGAAATTGATGTAATATCGTAATTACTTAAATAAAGCTAAGTGTCAAGGGATCTAAGTGGTCACCTTAATATTAAAAAAAAAAGAAAATATTAAAAAGCTTATAATCCAGTAACTTAAATTTAGCAATTTTAGTACCATCCAATCCATCTTGACAAGATAATTCGAATAGTATCAAAATTATTAAATTCTGTTTACTGCATTATAAGATATAATAAAATTTTCTAAAATAGGGCTCTTATACGTAATTATTTTACTTTTTTGGGCCTTTATTTGTAAATTCCCCTAAAATTAATACTTACGCTCTATATAATAAAGGCAAAATTGCTTAAAATATAAATATATATATATATAAATAAGAGACTTCAAAGTTTATGCTCTAAATTTTGGCAAAGTTTATTAGAGTTGTACAAAAAATGATCTACTAGGATCTGTAAAATTTCTATCCACGTGCTCACTGCGCATCAGCCAATCATCATACGAGGGACAAAAAGCAGATAGTAAGTACGTACGTACATCTTCGCGTTAACACATAGACGAGAAAAAAAAAAAAGAAAAAATGTCCGTATACCCTCTATATAAGGAGATTTTTCCGTCAACAAGCGTTGAAGAAGTTGTTTGTGCCAATTTTACTTCGTCTAGGGATATTAACATTATAGTTGCACGTTCATCTATATTACAAATTTACAAATTTGTTGAGAGAATTGAGATTTCATTAGAAGACGAAGATAATGATTTGGGCCAAGAAATAGAAAAAGAGAAGGATGAGGTGAGCACGCGTTGTTTGAGCTTCTTTATTTTGATTGATAGTCAAGCGGAAGGTAGTTAGCACTGGATCGAGTAAAGTTGGCAAGATTAGCATAAATTGTTAGGAGACGAAGGAATTCACGTATTATCAAAATCCAATTATATAAATATTCTGTTTAGACGCAGATCTGGGCCAATTCATTTAAAAATATATTCGTGGTTTTTTTTTTGCTATGAAGCTCTTTTAAAGATTTAACTTGGTAGCTTAAATAAAATTTAAAAGATTAGAAATTCGTAAATTAATATGGATATAGAGAGTGATGGTGTTTCAGCTAAGTTAAATAAATAAATGTTGCGTTAAAGAAAATACACATAGAATCAATAAAAATTTTTTTCTACTTCCGAATTGTGTATCTTTGGTATTTTTATTCTTATACAATTTTACTATTTTCACCATATCATATGGTGGCAAAAAATATTTCAAATGATTTCATGCAGACGTTTCTATTAACGCTCAAACCGGCAACAAATCCGTCATTCAAGACTGGTCATCTTGAACTTATCTCACAGTACAAGCTTCATGGTAATATAACATCTATGGGAGTTGTGCGAACGATTTCTTCGGGGGCAAACGGTATGGATAGTCTGTTATTAAGCTTTAAGGATGCAAAGGTTCGTTATTTGAGGTATTAGGCATGATAGCGAGTCATCAAAATTTTGTAACATATTAATATGAAATCTTTATTATTCTAGTTGTCGCTTTTGGAGTTTTCGCTGGCGACTAACAACATCGTCACGGTATCTATCCACTATTACGAACGAGAGGAATATAAGGTAATCGTCAAATAAGAGTTGATGTCGAATCAATTATTGATAGACCATTATATTGATAATTGTTTTCATCATCACAGCTAGAATTTCTAGCAAATACACGTCCGACCGAATTGAGGGTGGATCCATCCAATAGATGTGCTGTATTGAATTTTTTTGGTGATAAACTGGCGATTCTTCCTTTTCGTCAAGAAGAAGCCTTAAATTTAGATGAAGAAGAGGTTGCAAGGTAAGTAATACCATTTGGTATTTACTGTTTATTGAACAGTAATATTCTTATTCTTACGTTTCAATTTTGGGTAGCAAGTGGCCTTATTTACCAAGCTTTGTCGTCGAGCTGCCTTCCATTCAATCACGAATTAAAAATGTCATAGATATGAAATTCTTGTATGATTATTACGAGCCGACTTTAGCCATACTTTTTGAATCATGTCAAACCTGGCCAGGGTAAAGATGATATACTATTATATTTATAGAGACACAGAAAATTTACTAAATTTCACAACATAAACATTGTAGTAAAATGAACACAAATAAGGACACTTGTTCTCTCGTCGTTGTGTCACTAGATATTTCACAAAAAGTATATCCAGTCATATATTCTATGGATAAGTTACCACATTCCAGTGTGAAATTAATTCCAATTCAAAAACCCGTTGGTGGTATCCTCGTTATAACAGCAAACGCGATGATTCATGTGGACCAAAGCTCTCCAGGAATTGGTATTGCGGTTAATGGATATGCAACGTCCACAACAGATTTTCCACTTGACCATTCATTCGAGCATTTAGGTCTTGCTCTAGAAGGATGTCATTATGTTTTCTTAGACAAAGATGAAATTTTACTTTTTTTGCGTAATGGTGACATGTACTTAGTAAAACTGATAAAGGATGGACGATCTATATCTAGGATTACAATAGAGAAAGTTGGTACTAATACGTTGCCATCATGTGCTTGCCACGTAGCTCCGGGATATTTCTTTTTAGGATCACGACTGGGCGATTCACATTTGGTTCAATATAAAGTTGCTAGGTCCAATTACAAGACGGATGGTGCGGTGAATGGTTTTAGTAATATGGTAATTCTGGATTATTTAACATTAAATTATTTCTGATTTTAGTCTTCTCTAACTAATTTTTTTTTTTTTTTTTTATTTAGTCGCGAAGAAATACCTTCGATTTTGATGCAGGTAATAAAAATTTTAGAATCGGATAAAATCTAAGTTGTTAGCTAGTAAAATTTATGTAAATTACGTTAGGGTGAAATCCGCGTTTAATTAGGTTTTTTATTATGCAAAAGTTGATTTAGCCCTCAAGTGATCTACGTATTAGGTTTACTAACCGGCAACTCAGGTTTCACCCTATCATAATATTTTTAATTTTTCGTGTATACATACTGTGCCTTTTCTAACGTCTAATATTTTAAACGTGGCTTAGAACTATATGAAACTGATACAACAAGTAGTATAAATCTTGCAAGCATAAGCAGCAAAACAAGTACTAAATTTCCAACAACCTCTGAATACAACTTCACTATATGCGACACACTTATTAACGTTGGACCAATAGTGGATTTGGCTTATGGCGAATTAGCATTCACCGAGGTTAAAATATTTGTTATAATCAATGCCCATATAAGTTAAAATGCTAAAATTTTGATTTCCTTTTAGGAAGAGTCTCATTTACACACTGTGCATAAAGAATTAGAGTTGGTCTCTTGCTCTGGTTCCGGCACGACTTCCTCGCTTTGTATATTTCACGTAAGGTGCTTTTTTTTGCGCTAGTGACTATTTTGAGATTAATTCTAATTCCAATCGTAGTTAAATGTGACACTTTATTTATAGCGTAATATAAATCCAATAGTATCGAGCTCTTTTGCAATGACTGATTGTTTAAATATGTGGACGGTATCATGCAGAGATGTCATATTTCAAAATATGAACATCGATACTGTGGACACAGATTATTTTCATAAATTCCTATTTATTTCAAAAAAACATAGGACAATGGTACATTTATTATTTATTTGTCAAATTGTAAGTTCATATTATTTTATATTCATATTGTATTATATATATTGCTGCGTTTAGGTTCTTGCTTGTGGCGAAGAATTACAGGAACTTGAGCATTCTGACTTTTATACGGAAGGTCCGACAGTGGCCGTTGGATCAGTGTTGAATGGGTCACTAATATTACAAATTTGTGGTCATGGACTCCGGCTTCTTGATCAAGGTTTCTTTTATTCGATATATTATATTTATAAAATAGTGTAAATCGACGGTTCTTATTTTATTTTTTGTACACATATAGATGGAAAGCTTGTGCATATAATACCGACTCAGGATGATCCTGAAAAGAACTTAATTGTATTTGCGAGCATTGTTGACCCATATGTGTTGTTATTATTTGACACTGGTGACATTAAGTTATTAAAGACTGATGATAAGTCAAAGAGCATTGAGCTTTATTCACAGTCTCCGAGTATTAACGTAAGAACCAATTATACATAGTTACGAATATCTTGCGCTCAATTTAAACCTTTTTTCCTTATATTAGGATATTCCTACTGCGTCGTGTTATATATATCGAGATGATACCGGTCTTTTTACTCTTGTCAAAGATGATGTCGTGGGTGCAGTAAACGAAACAAATATAAGCGGTTTTGGTGAGAACGTCAAATCCGAAAGCTTTTGGTGCGTACTGTATCGGCAAGATGGCTCCTTGGAGGTCAGTGATTTATATTTTATATTACTACATATCAAAGATTCTAATATTTATAACTTATTTTGTTTAATAGATTCATAAACTTCCTGAATTTAAGGAGGTGTTCCATTTTCCGCATTTTGATTTATCACCAGCTGTTCTCACCGATGTTATAACGCGACAAAATGTAAAAGCTTCTGGACAGACTGTGGAAATTCAAGAGATTTTATTAATAAACATTGGTCGACAAGCAAAGGATCCATATCTAATTGTAATTTATTCTTTTTATTTGATTCATACATATCAATGTTTAAAAATGTTGATGAACTTACTCGACAATATATTTAATGTTTTAGGCGCGTTCTAGTGTTGGTGACATCATGATTTATAAGGCCTTCCGATATATGCCTGGCACCGACATATCAGATCCTTTCTTAAAGTCACAATCTCAAAGCGAGTTGACCGATCGCCTAGCTATACGATTTTCGCGTATCCCTCAGGAATATATATCACGCGAAACGATGTATAGTGATATCCATGATAAACCTGTAACTAGAAGGTCAACTCTTCAAGAATTGAATGTTGATGAAATTGATCAAACGAACCATGATGTAGAAAAGCGAAGAACTATTCTTAGACAGATAAATCGACAACTGATACCCTTCACTAATATAGCGGGTTACTCCGGTGTTTTTGTAACAGGTGCGAAGCCTCTTTGGTTGATTTGTGCGCGCAATAATTATCTGAGGGTGCATCCGATGAATGCAGACGGCGAAATACGAAGTTTTACACCATTTCATAATGTACATTGTAAACATGGCTTTTTGTACACTAATACTCAGGTAATTATTATAAAATATTTAATTCATATTTGTTCAGTCAATACAATATTATTAATCTTTGCTTAGGACGTTTGTCGATTGTCAGAGTTACCGACTGATTTTCAATATGATATGGAATGGACTGTGAAAAAAGTTCAATTAAATCGTTCTGTTTACGGAATCGAATATCATCCAGAAATGCAGGTCTATGCGTTGTTAACATCATTACCCGTTGAATTTCTACTGAGGGATGAAAATGGTGAACCTATAGAATTTGAACGAGGTAACTTATTTATACATATCGATAATGCATATTTATCTTCCAATAATCAACTTTATACTATATATAGATAGTTCCCAATTTTTACCTGAAACCCAAAAATTTACTCTTGAATTGATATCTCCAGTCACTTGGGAAACTGTAGACAGGTTTGATTAACATTTAGAAAATTGCTATTCAGATTATTAATTTGCTTAATAAAGTTTAACTCGTCGTGTAGGCACGATTTCCATGATGATGAACAAGGTCTATGTATAAAATGTGTAAGTCTCCAAACAAAATCCACTACTAGTGGTCGAAAATCATTTATTGCCATTGGTACTGGAATCTTCCGTGGAGAAGATGTTGGTATGCGAGGAAATGTAAGTCGTTGTTCTTTGGTTAAATCAAATCACTTTCAATATTCTTAATCCATCATTAATTTTTAAAGGTTTATGTATTTGAAATAATTGAAGTCGTGCCGGAGCCTGATAATCCGCAAACAAATCACAAATTTAAATTGCTATGTCATGAAGAAGTAAAAGGTTCAGTAACTGCAATTTGTGATGTCAACGGATACTTATTAACGTGTGTCGGACCAAAGGTAAAAAAAATATATGCGTTTTGTAAGTCGTGCATAAATAATTTTTTTTTTTTTTTGATTTTAGATTTTTATTCGTGCGTTTGAAGACAATGACCGTCTCATTAGCGTTGCGTTCATTGACATCCAAATTTATGCTAGTAGTGTAGTGTCGATTAAAGATTATATACTCTTGGGAGATGTCTACAAAGGTGTCTGGTTCCTTGGATTTCAGGCAAGGCTTTACTGGACTATAACTCTTGGAGTCATTCTCAATATACTTTACATATTTTGACATATAATTGCACTCAAAGGAGGAACCAGCGAAACTAGTGTTAGTTGGTAAAGATTATCATTCTATGGAAGTCGGGTGCACTAATTTTATAATCGATGAGCCTGTATTATATTTTGCAGTGGCAGATATGGATAAAAATATACATTTGTTTCAATACGCACCTTATAGTAGGTTTATTTTATTTAAATAATGGTTTTGTTATTACAAACATTTCTAATATTCAATTTACTTTTTAAGATGTACAATCATTTGCTGGTCAGAAACTTATTCGCAGAGGCGATTTTCATGTTGGCGCGCAAGTAAAAACAATGTTATCATTGCCAAAAAAAGAATTAGTAAGAAGAGAACATTCTATTGACCAGGATATACCTGTGATGGAAGAGGAAACCAGTGGGCATAAACAGCTTTGCTTATGCGGTACACATTTACTTACTATTATATTACATGTCACAAATAATAAATAATATCTATATTAAATGTATATTACTACTACAATACTCAGGAACTCTTGACGGAAGTATTGGTATGATAACCCCAATACCCGAAAAGATGTATAAACGAATGCAATTGTTGCACTCGCAAATGGTGAATGGAATACAACACCCAGCGGGTCTCAATCCTAAATCATTTAGGTATATATATTCAATACTTCGGATTGATCACAATAAGAAAACTAATTTTCTAATTTCACGTTTTATTTTATGGAGGCTTATGCAATCAAAGCAACGACTAGCCATTAATCCAGCTAAAGGAATTTTGGATGGTGATCTTTTAATCCAATTTCCAAATTTAGCATTACATCGACAACGAGAAATGACTAAGCAAATTGGAACGACAGTAGAAAGGATTTTAGACGACTTGTTGGTGTTGCAAGAATCATGTGACTATTTCTAATAATTTTAGGGTTATCATGTGTTATGACAAAAATGCGTTACCATCACTGCCACTATTCTATTCTATATAAATTTCAATATTTTAATCTTGCTTATTTTAAAAAGTATGTTGAGTTTTTATGAAATAAAATGGATATAAAGCGACTTTAAAAGAGCGTCACTTGAGCAATTTTAAATAAGTTATTATTGCAAATATTTTAACATTTTTAAAATATTTAACCGATCAAAAAATGCTGCTACTCAAAAACTACACTTTACAACCTACGTATTCTGATGCAAACTTTAGTTTTTTGTATATATATCGATATGTGAGTAGGCTTATAGCTTACGTCATCTTAAGATTTTCAAATTGCACATAATGCAGAAATGATAACGATAATCGAAGCCTAAAATAGAACAGTCGTTTATTATCAGAATTTTTTTTGGAAATGAAAAGGATCGTCATTATTAACGAGCTCGGATACGTATGTACGTATGTACTGTACGTACAGTACGTAAGCATACGTATCAGATATCAGATATCAGATATAATCTACCTATTAATCTCATATGATACGTAAAGGGTCTCCTGAAAGTATTGTCATGTGCAATCATTAGTGAATTTAAGCAGTGTAAATACATAAAATCCCTTGATCTCCTGGAATTATATCATGGCTGATATAAAGAAAAGACTTGTATTCTCTATTTTGCAGTTTTTACAACAGTCCATTAAGGATGGAACGATTAAGGGAGAAGATACTGAAAGTGTCGAAGTAGCAGGTTCGAAATCATTATAAGACTGCGCGTCAATGTCGTTATACCTCGACCTCTAACAAGATTCGTGTATGTTTGCTAAGTGCAATGTATTGGTGAAGCTTTCGGTGTGAACACCGAAGATCCTGATCAAAAAGCTCTTTATGCCACAAAAGCCCCCTTGCTATCAATTTTTGAAGTAGCTGTGAAAGCTCAAGAGCGAATAACCAAGGCGGTGAGAATTTCTCGCTTTAATTATACATATCATTCAATAAAATTGATTTTTTGTTTCTCTCTTATTAGCCAACTCCTAAAACTAGTATGTACTCTAATTTTTGCTATCGATTTTTCACAATTATGTCATTATTTATGCATATACATACATATATTTGCCTTTTACTAAACTTCAGCTACTGCAACTAAGGTGAATAGTCGTGCAAATTATTATTTCTTTATAATACTTGTATACTCATTGAACTCTTCATATATTATATATATCAGACGGAACTCAGTGAGGAACAAAAAAAAAAGGCAGAAGAGTTGAAAGCAGCTGGTACTTCAATTCATTTCAATTTATATTCGTTGCCACCAATTCACGAACCGAAATATTATATATCAATTTAAAAATCAGGTAATGTCAAAGTGTCTGAAAAAGACTATAAGACAGCAGTGAAATTATATAGTGAGGCTATTGCAATCAACGAAAATAGCGCTATTTATTATGCAAATAGGTATAGTATGTTCTTTGAAATTCTAAGTAATTTTGAATTGTCAATGATAATATTTTAATTCTTTCTTTATGCAAATTGCAGGGCCGCTGCATACAGTCAATTAGGTGAACATGACAAGGCTATAGAAGATGCTATTAAATCTTCTCAAATAGATCCTTCTTACAGCAAAGCATATAGTAGACTTGGGTATAATAATTATCGTGTTTTAGTGTTTACTAAAGAGTCTAAATTATACTTTAACAATTATATATTTTTTCAATAACAAGACATGCTTATTTCTCTGTCGGAAAATACCGAGAAGCGGTTGAAGCATATGAGAAAGGCCTTTCACTTGACCCAAATAATCCTTCTATGAAAACGTCTCTTGCTACCGCTGAACAAAAAGCCAGTGAGCTAACCGACAAAGGATCATCACGAAGTACCCCCACATCAGGTGGTGGTGCTGGACTTGGTGGTATCCCTGGCTTAGCAGGACTTGGTGGTGCTGGTGGTGGTGGTCTCGATTTTGCTTCAATAATGAATAATCCTGCTTTAATGGACATGGCACGACAAATGATGCAGTCAGGAGCATTCAATAACATTATGAATAATCCTAATATTGCTGAAATGTACTAAGCAAATTTATAATTTTTTATTAGCATCGCTATTAATTATGATGGCGGCAGAAGCTGAAATTAGCTCAAGTTGAAATTGGAATCTCTATTTGAATATATACGAAACCACGTTCAAAATTTTGCTTCAGCCAATTTAGCTTCAGCTACCGCAATTATCTATTTGGGTTGTTGCCTAACAAAAACCATACTTAGGGTATATATATTTTATATGTTCTAAGCATGATTTTGCTAGGCAACAACCTATTTGTATACTTCACTAACAAGGTTATCGATTAATATAGGGCACAAAACATGATGAGAGAGGGTCAGCCACCAAATATTAATGAACTAATGAATAATCCTGATATAATGAATATGTATGCTATCTAATTAAATTATATAGGTTGTTAGTTAATACTTATTCATCTGTATCTACTTATTTTATATTTTAAGGGCTCGTCAATTCGCCAGCAATCAGAGTGGAGATGGAGACAATACCGAAGCTTCCAGTGACAATGCACAATAAAATTAATAGATTTAGTAAATTTAGTTAAATACCACATACCCAAAAAAGATATAGGTATATTTACATAATAATTCCATAATTATATTGACTTGTACCTTTTGAACCATTATTCATGATCAAACTCATATCATGTTAATTATACGCAATACATTTTTTATCTTGCTTTTCAATTTTGTTGTAATAAAAATAATGTGTTACAATAGATAATGAATAATTTTAGATAGATTATTTCAGATTATCTTAAATGATATTACTATTCCCATCTAATAACCTGATTGTCTTGTTTTAATATGTATTAACTTGCTGTTTAAATAGGTGAGGTGGTAGTTTTTGTAAATAGCAAAAAGATTTTTTAAATTAATATACTTGGATTTGTGTTATAGTATATAGTTTTTTTATTGATTTTGGTTATACTATAGTATAGTACTAAAAATTTATACTTAACAGTTATACAAAGTGTTTCAATTTTTTAAATAGCTATAGCTTTATTTAAAAAGTTTTAAAAAAATCTAATCAGTAACTTTATAAAGCTATATTAGCTTTATATATATATTAAAATCTTATTATTATTAAGAGTTAAAGCAATTTAAATAAAATTATATATATAAATTTATAAATTATATATAAAATTATAATTTTTATATTACTTTAACTTTTTATATAATAAGTTTTTAAAAAGATATTTAGCATACAGTATATATAGAGATAAGATAGTTACTAGTTAGATTTTTTTAAAACCTTTTAAATAAAAAATTATAGCTATTTAAAAAATTAAAATATTTTGTATAGCTGCTAAATATAGACTTCTAGCACTATAGTTTTTTTTTTTATTTTTTTTTTTTCAAGATGAGATCTTGGTCTCAATACTTTATTAAATTTTTAACATATATTAATCTATACAGTATTATTGCATAAACTATTAATTTAATTAATTGTATATGAAATATAGAACTATGTTTTAACTATCTATATCTAAGATCTATCTATACAGATATATCTAAGTATCTATAGTATTTCCAATTTATTCTTGACCTAATTTTATCAGAAATGATTACAAGATTAGCCTGATTTTAGATTCTTGTATACCTACTTACAATTACCTTTTCACAGTTGCCAAGGCTCCTACTTGTAGTTATGACCGAGCTATTAAGTTTGTCATTTGATATCCCAGAACTTTAATTTTGCAGTGTAGGATTCTATCGAATCTGCAGTTCCCTAACATTTGCTCATTATCTTATTAATCTGCTTTTGCTCTTGCAGAAGTTTGCTATTCTCCTTTTAGCACTATAGTATAACTATAGTAAAAAAAATTTATTATATAGTATATAATATTAGAAATTTATAATTTAGTCCACCTTGTATAATAGTGCATCTTTATAATAATTAGAGTTAAAGTTAGGGTTAGTATTAGAGTTAGTATTAGTATTTAAGTTAAGATTAGAGTTAGGGTAGATAAAATTGCAAGAGAATTATATTTTGTTAGTTATATAATAGGTATTACTTTAGTAAAATTTTAAAATAGGCATTGTTAATCTCATCAAGAGTGTTAGGGTAAAAGCGTATTACAGAAATGGAGCCAGAGGATTTAAATGGGTATCCCCCATAGTTGGGTGCAGGCAATGATATACATGGACATGGACATGTTCATGGACTGTCCATAGACAAGCTAAATTTAGTAATAGCTTATATTATTTCTTGACGTATTATTTCTAAGCAAAAAGGTTGAGAATTCTAGATTTTTTAATTTATTGAGATTGATAATGCATTATTTCTATAGAGTTTGATCTTTTTAAATTTCCTGTACTGTATGTACAGTATGTAGTACTTCATGTCATCTAAATCAGAAATCTAGTTTGTAATCGTAGTGAAATACTTGACATATATTAAATTTATTGAGTTAAACAGTATGACTAATTTGTAAATGCCAAATCGTACACATCCCAACTTACCAAATATTGAGAAAATACATGAAGCAAAAAGTATGCCAAGATGGAAATCGGTTCCCGGGCAAAAATTGGTGTCAACATTATGTCATATGTGGTAACTATTGAAGAGTACCTGAATTAAAAGAAAAAATTAAAGTCGCTAAAAAAATATTGCTTTTAGGTTAGTTCGAAGGTCTCGTGATTACATGGTTTGATCACGATCGTCAGGTAATAAATTAATCAAATCAAGAAATATATCAGTTATACAAGCGTGGTAATGATAGTAATGTATAAAAAATATGTAGAGTTAAAGTTAGTTATCGTATGAGTAGATTAGTAATGATAAATGATGTAATTGATAAAAATAAGTACTAGCTATCAAAACCCTTAACTTCATATCGAGACGTTATACTTGACTTTATTCATGACTTTATTCTGATGCTTATCAAGGCCACGACAATGACAAAAAATCATTGTGCTTAACAGATTTAAATAAAATAAATTCCACTTGAAAGAAATCAAATATTATATATATACTATATTATTCATAAAAATTCTATTTATTTATTGAATATATTTAAAATTAAAGTGTTCTGGACATAAAAGTGCAGATTCTAATATCCTTCTTATGAACGAATATTTTTTTAAGTCCTACAGTGAATAACATATAACATTTACTATGTAATAATGTTTTTTAAAAAAAAAAGTCAAGTTCAAAAATACTAAGTACAAACACATAATGACAGCGTTCATTATGACCTATTTACTAATTATAGGTTATGGCTTTACGATCTGTTATATGTAACATTTACTATTACATTATGATCATTTTGGTCAGATAAAGATATGACCTAAAACAACCAACACTGCCAACAAGCTATTTTATGAAACATAATTTGTCAGGTTCACAAATTTTAAAAAATGTTTTTTAGTTCTAATTTTTTAAACAGGGTGGCCAACTCCCATTTCGCATTAGTGTCAATCGCAGGATGGGTAAGAGAAAGTTCATCATCCATATATCCCTCTTCTATATCCTTCTCTTCGAAATGCTTTCTTTCTTTTTCTAACATATCTGCCCACACTTGCAAATAATTATCAAAATCTTCATTGTCATTTGCATCTTCATTATCCGATTCTTCATCTGATAATTCAAACATTTCTCTATTTTCTAAAGATTCATAGATTTCCACATTTTCAGAATTTAAATTATTTGTACTATCCTGATTAAGTATTTCAATATTAGTGCCAGTTGGTTCTGCATCTATATTTATATCAGAGACATCTTTATTATCATTATATGCTAAATCAGATCGAATCTGGTGACTATACGTAATATCGGCACATAACTTGCTTATTAGTAAAACTTTGGCAAGCTAAAATTAATTTAATAAGATCTTAATATATGTAATTCAAAGGATTATCCTTATTAGGGTATCCAGAATTCTGCAATTTTTATCTACACATAATTGTACAAACTTTTGCAACTATTCTGGCTGATTATTAAGTAGTTCTATGTAGAGAATTTTGACTAAGACAATCGCTAAGTATTGTTTTGGGCCAACAAAAGCTTATTATGTATAAATTATCAATATAAGAATGACCAATGAATAATTGCAAATTCTGTAAATTCAGTATATTCATTACAAATTTTGCAGAATTCTAGATACCCTAACAGTGTTGAAAATTCGTTGTGCATGTATTGTTATTTGTACAAAATTAACAATGGGCTGTGCAAATTGCACAAAAAATAGAATAACATTCATGTATAAAAAAATATTTTTGCACAGCATATTTGTGTCGAATTTTCAACACTGCACCCCAATATTTATATATGATAAATATACCATTAATCAGTTACGCCGATTTGTATGCAGAAACCCTATACAGCTCCAAAGGCGCTCTATGGCAGCTGCATTTACACATATCCCAAAAATCCGAGTTGCAACTAAACCCAATTCTTCTGTTGATGAACTTGCAAAGCACCAATATTGACAAATGTTACCTGAAAATTGATTCCATATATCTATATCAAAAGGATACTTTTTTAACCGAAAATTATCAAATTCTCTTAAAATTCATTTTGGATCTTTTCCAAACCATACACGGTAATAATAAACTAGCCAAGGACCAAAATTAGTATAGTTAATATTGATGTTAAATTGCTCTAAACGATAATTGGGATGTAAAAGACAGGATAGAATTAATAAAGGTTGTTCCCAATCATGCCATCGACGTTCCAAACATAAAGTAAGTTGAGCACTAAGTTGCAAGTCATCATCATAATTATTCCAATATTGAACAAGATAGCCTAAACTTAAGACAACCTGGTATAGACGAGCTTTATCGGATTGCAACCTATTTAAAATAGTACAATATAGTTGAAGAATATTAAACAAATGACTAATATTAGTCCAAAAATTTACAGAGCTAATAGTTTCATAGATTTCGCATTTCAATTTTGGTTCCATTCTTGTATGCGAAGTTTTTTTAATAGATGGTTCATACTTAATCGCAAGAATCTGGTAAAATAATAAAAATTTAATATTTTATTAGAAGTAGACTTTGGATCAATTTAAATTTATATGATTAGAACAATTATTTTAAAAAATAATTATTATATCATATGCAAGTTTTATTTTAATTATTTTATAATTAATTTTAATACAAGGTAACTTTCAATTATATTTTATTTAATAAAGTATCATTATTAATAATACTTCATTAAATAAACTATAATATAATTAAAGGCTACTAGTAATATGGGCTGGCCCCAGATCAGTGGCTAGATCGATAGGCTGGTCAACCTTTAGCCTTCATCTTTGCGGGCTGGGCTGGTCAATAGAAGAAGTGATAGAATTTATTTCTTTTCTAAAATATATTCCAAGTTAAAAATTGACCAAAAATCTAATAACCGTTATAGCAATATAAAAAAGATAATCATTAGTTTATCAAGATGATAAATTGACAAATAACAAATATAAAATATAAATAATAAAAATGTTCAGATATATAGACAATCAACATAAATGCTAACCTGTTAAAGATAAAGAATAAAAAATTAAATAGTTTAATATTGCTCGAATTCAGCAAGGAGCTATCTGATAGCTTTTTACACATTTGATATAGATATAAAATCTGATTCTAATTGAAAAAATTAAGGGTAGCCCGGTCAACTGGCCTGAGCTTTTTTAGAATCGACCCTGGCTATAATTTTTCTTCCAGCCCATATCACTAATTATTATACGTAGTTAAGGCTATTTGAAGTTAATTTTTCAGTTAATATCACCTTTAGAACTCTTGGGAGGGGTAAAATGAAACGAATATATAAAAATGGGCCAATTTTATTGGTCAACATAAATCAAGTAATTGGTGAGAGTTATCTAGCATTTTGATTGGTTGTTCGTTTATCAGAGGAGACTTCAGTAGAGAGAGGGATGATATTAACTGAAGAATCAACTTTGAATGGCCTAAGCTTTTAAAATATATCAGTTTACCTGCAAAGCCTTTTGTGATTTTAGAATGCTTAAGCACACAGTATAAAAACTGTTCCACCTGGTTTTACCAGGAGCACTGATTGTAAAACATTTCTTATATTCAGCATATTGTTCTTCTTTCAATTTTGCTATAAAAAATTTATGAATTGGGTTTCTAAAATATGTAGCAAGACGAATTGCCTGGTCGATTGTTTTCTTAAAATCAGTTGATTCCTTGAAGATTTCGCCAATACACAAATTGATCTAATGTGTATAACAGGGCAAAAACACAATTGATCTTTCTGCAACTCTCAAACAGCGTCTATAAAAAATAAACTATTAATCTTTCTTATTTACTTAAAATAAAAAATAAATACTATATACCGAGCAGTAGCGTACACGCCCGCACTATCTGTTACAATAGAAATAATTTTGACCGATTGTGCATTTAATTCAGTGAGCATTACATTAATTTTTTTAATTACTTCAATATGAGTCTCACGTTCGAAACTTATATTTAGTGCTTTCCACATGTATGGTCTACCTTCTGAAGTAATTATTACTACTCCTAACAAATTCTCATTTCGAACGTTAGTCCAGCTATCAAAGGTTAATGTAATACCAACTTGATCTTCTTTCAACATAGTTAGCATTGCTTTTTCAGATTCACCAACTATATCATTTAAAATTTGACCTCCAAGTACTCGCCGATCAGGAAGTTTAAGAAGTGGATTGAGAAATTCAAATAACTCAGTTGCTTCAGGCTTATGTACCCAATTTAACGCCCATCCACAAAAAACTGTAAGGCGTAAAATGAGTTGATAGAATCTTTTTATTTCTTGTTGAAACAAGGTTCTAACTACATAGCTATCTGTTTGTTCAAAAGATAATCGGGTGGTTTTTGAAGTTAAAGAATATGAACTTGAAGACATAATATCACTGGTTTCTATAAAATATAATTTGTAAGAAGAATAAATATATATGCATGCTCTTGGAACACTTTAACAACATGTACTTAGAGAATAATAAGAAAAGCATATTTATAGAGATCATATATATTCTCTAAGTGCACGCCCTTGAGACTACACTTTAATAATGTGCATTTAAAGAATAATAAGAAAAAATGCATATAGAAGTCAAGTATATATTTGGGCCAGCACTTGAACATATGAAGGTTTCACTCTATGTAACTTATATATATCTTTTTTTGGAACATCAACTAGTTTAAAGATTTCTTCTCTTTCTTTAGCTGTTAATTCCGCAACAAAATTTGTACATTTTTTGAAATATGAAATTATTCAGTCTGTTTTATTAGAAAAATATTGTTTTGAACCTTCTATTTCGCCTAATCGATCTATACATGGTTTACAATATACTTTTGTATTATGGTTATTTATTTTTTCATTGGTTTTGATGATAAATTTATTTAGAATACGCGGTAAAGATGGCATGACTACTTGGATTAAATTTTAGCAAAATAAAGCATGTATTGAGTTAAGAAAAAAATTCTATATCAGATTATTTAAATACCAAAAAAAAAAAAGATATCAACTATTGAAACAAAAAAGGGTAATCATCAACAAGATATCAGTATTGAGTTAAGAAAAATTGCGTATTGGATGACTTTACTAAAAGTGCCAACCATTGAAATAAAAAAAAAGTGGCTGTTAAAAATCATATCAGACTATTAGCATACGCCTAAATCCAAAGAAAAAAGAATCAACAATAACTTTGACTGCTTATAATTGTTTAATTTTCTTTTGAAGTTAGGTGTACATTTACAATTTAGCAAAACTTTATTAATGCATAGAGAAAAAAAAAGAATGGTGAGAAAATTTTTAAGAAAATAACAAAAAAAAAAAGCTGTTAAATGAATTACAATGAAACCTCTCCAAATGCGCCCTCCTAAATACGCAACTTCTTTATATACACTCTCAAATTCTTGTCCAGATATATACATGATCTTTGTAAGTGCACTTCTTATTGTTCCTTAAAAATGCATATTGATAAAAGTGCCTCTATAGAGCACATTTAGAAAGGTCTAACTTTATATTTTAGAGGCATACAGGCAAACATTTAAGATAGCATCTTTATTAGAAATGACTAATATCATTGCATCAAGAGCTCTATCTTTAGAATGAAATAACTGCACTATTTCTTTTTGAGGCTTTATTGTTAGTGATAAAATAAAGATAATGATACATGTATATGTACATATGTATATATGTACGTACGTACATATATACTTACCTGTTACGTAATATTGGTAGCTTTAAAGACTTATACAAATATAGAAACAAGCAGAATAAGATTTTATCTATTACAGGTTTTTATCTTGTGCAAGACTTGTATTTTATACTAACCACATTGCAGTATTGTTTAATTTTAGCCAGTTGGAATTATTGCTGATTAGCCAATAACATGCTTGGACATTTTGGACATTTGTCCATGTCCAACAATTTTATTGACGTATATTATTGGCCACTGATAATTATGTGGGCATGGATATTGACATGAGTATATGTATAATCAGATCTCTCTAAGTGCATGCCTTTAGGACCACACTTTAAAATATGCATTTAGAGAATAACAAGAAAAAATGCATTTACAGAAGTCGAGTATATATTTAGACCAGCACTTGAGTATGCATTAGAGAGGGTATGCACTTAGAGAGGTCTGACTGCAGAATAATAAAAAACTTCAAATGTTTTTAAAAATCTATATTAAAACTACTTTATGCTGTAATATATTGCTTAATTCACATCAAACTTAATACTCATATTATCTTTTACAGTTGTAAGATTAATGCATTAACAATCTTGCATCTCAGATCTAGAATTATAAATGAAAATGTTTGGAAAAACAGTATTTATGAAGCTATACATTATACTAATTTTAATAGGATATTTTTAGAGGGCTGATATTTAGGTTTACTAATTTCTCTCTACACTTCACTATCAGAGCACCATAAAATTGATTAATAATATAGATACTTTGATATGTGAATAATTAGTAGAACCAATCTGAAGTGTAGAGAAAATTAGTACCACCCACATTTGGTATTTGCCTCAGTAAAAATAAAAATTTCAAACATTTAAACGAAGATATCTCGACAATCACCTGGTCAAATTTGTTGAAACTTTTTTATTTGAACTCTATGAATCCATAGAATTAAAATAAAAAATTTTTTATCAAATTTGATCAGGTGATTACCGAGATATCTTTGCTCAAAGTTTAAAAAAATTTGACGCAACTTTATTTTGATAGGTGCTTTAATTTTTTCTAACTTTGAGCGAAGATATCTCAATAACCACCCAATCAATTTCGATAAAATTTTTTATTTGAATTCTATAATCAACTCAATTCAAATAAAAAAAATTCATCAAATTTGGTCAGGTGGTTGTCGAGATATCTTCGCTCAAAGTTAAAAAAATTTGGTGCAGCTTTTTGTTTTGATAGGCGGTTTGATCTTCTAATTTTAAGCGAAGTTGTCTAGATAGCCACCCGACCAAATTTGATAGAATTTTATATTTGAATTCTATGTATCTATATAGAATTTAGTCAGGTAGTTGTCAAGATATATTCGCTCAAAGTTAAAAAAAAAAATTAGCGCAGCTTTTATTTTGATAGTGGTTTTGATTTTTCTCTAACTTTAAGCGAAGACATCTCGACTACCACCTGACTAATTTCAATGAAAAGTTTTTTATTTGAATTCTATAGATACATAGAATTCAAAAAAAAATAATAATAATACCGAATTTGACCAGGTGGTTATCGAGATATCTTCGCTCAAAGTTAAAAAAAAATTTGGCGCAGCTTTTTATTTTGATGGGCATTTTTGATTTTTCTCTAACTTTGAGCGAAGATATCTCAACAATCACTTGATCAAATTCGATGAAGCTTTTTTTATTTGAATTCTATGGATTCGTAGAATTTGAATAAAGAAATTTTCATCAAATCTGGTTAAGTGGTTGTCTAGATATCTTCATTCAAAGTTAGAGAAAAATCAAAAATGTCTATTAAAATAAAAAGCTGCACCAATTTTTTTTAACTTTGAGTGAATATATCTTGACAACTACCTGACTAAATTCGATTAAATTTTTTTATTTGAATATACAGATACATAGAATCTAGATAAAAAAAATTCTATTGAATTTGATCAGGTGGTTATCTAGATATCTTTGTTCAAAGTTTTAAAATTTTTTATTTTTATTGGGGTGTGATGTGCTTGGACATTGGACATTGTCCATGGATTGTCCATGAACATTTGTTCATGTACATCACATGATGCGGATGATCATGTGGCTATGGACATTGAACATTGTCCATGGATGTCCATGGACAATGATCTTCATTTGGACACGTGTCCATGTACATCACTGAGTATAATTGCACACCAAGTAGTCAAAGAACTAGTTCTCAAGATAGACAAGGTCTCTTCTAGTCTTATTGTAGCAGCAACTGGGAATTCTACTAGACCTTTAGAAATTATTCAAGACCTACTAGTAGAAATTGATAATACTATTGTTTCTATAAATATTGAAGTAGTTGATATTATCTCCTACTTACTTCTTCTTGGCAATGATTGGTTACAGAAAATTGAAGCCAATTATAACTAGAAAAACAGATGTTATTCGTTCAAGTGAAAAAATTAGTTCCTACTACTTATAAGACACACTAGCCTCTTTCTGCTTGACCTACTATTACTAACTCAGCAGAGCTTGACTTATATGAACAAGAATATCTCACTTTTTATAAAGCTTTTGCTACAGAAGTAATTACAACTAGTGACAATGAAATACCACCAGAAGACCTTGAAGAATAGAAAGTTACCTGATCTAGATGCAGGTATAAATTACCTAAAGCTCGTGTTTTGAAAACTGTGGATCTCCAGATCACCTCTTCGCTGATTGTCTAACTAACCAGTACAACCGATGCCAATGACTAGAACATATTGCCCACAACAAGCACTGAGACAAACCACTTGCCGAACCTGTAACCAAGAGGACCACCTCTATAGACATTGTCCACAAAATATTTGTTGTGAGTGTGGTGAACAAAGACATATTGCCACTGATTACTCTTAAGTTGCAATCCAGAAACAAAACTTCCTCTATTAGTGTAGATGTGACAGAGTTAAGGTTGAAGCCAGACAATTTCCTTATCACAGCTCCTAGCATATACATCATTGTTGTAAATATCTTAATCCATACAAACCTGAAGATCTTTGAAGCATTGATATTCCAATGGTTTGTCGTAGATATTACATGAACTTCTACTATGAATTGGACCAAAATGACCCATGAAGCATTGCTTTCTACACTGAAGGTGAAGGCCGTGAACTTCTTGTTGAATGCCAAATCTGCCAAAAGTCAGAACCATGTTCCAAAATATATCGACTAGATAGCCTCCAAGCTAAATTATAGTTTTGTGATCTTGAGTATTTATATGCTTTTAAAGCTAGCCAGAATATTTTTTATAATCCCAACTACAACCTGTAAACTCGTATTAGACACTACACTGAGTCTACTAGGAATGCTAGACACCAATATGAGTTAAATCAAACTCGTATTTTTCAACTAGCCACTATTTGTCTCTACCAAAATGATAAAACTATTACCGAAGCCCTAGAACTCCAGGTTAATAACTGAATTAATAATGAGTGGACTGATGAAGATAGGATCTTAGTCCTATATGCAGAACAAGAACTATTAATCAATAATGATAACTACCCAAGACTGGAGCAAGTCATTCAAGATTCTTTCGACACTAGCCATCCAGACTTTAACCAAGAATATGCTTTTGCCCAAATAAGAAGAAGCTTTACCTATCTAGTAGACCTCTATAAAGAATGCTTGCATATAAAGTATCAGAAAGAACTAGACCACAATCAAGGACACTATGATGAATGTGCCCTTGCACCAGTCCTGTATACACCCCTGTATTAGAACCAGAACCAGAAGAAAAAATCGTATTTCTTACTATTACGATAATGGAAATGCAACAAAAGTTGAATAGCCAGGCCCAACTTATCAAACAACTACAAGATCATGTAAACTACCTTGAGGATAAAAATACTCAGTTGATACAACTTTTTCAAGAAAATAACCAACACTTTTAATGCCAATCTGAAGCCCTTATCTTATTGGCATAGTTACAAAATTTTCAATAAATCTTAGGCAGGATGAAAAACTACCTAATAACCTAGACATTCAGGACCAGACTATAATCTTCATACCTTGCCAAATTTGTACAATCAATATTTTTCTCCCTTATAAGGAATATTTAGTAGACAAACCCTCTTTGAATATTGGATCTTTTACCTCGGAACAAGGACAACAATTATTAGAAAAATTTGCAGATTTATTTGCAACTAACATAACTGAGTTAGGATGTACCAATCTTGTTACTCATAAAAACTATATTGAAGATGTATCTCCTATCTGATCTTGCTCTTATTCAATCCCCCCAAGTAAACAGATATTTGTAAAAGAAGAATTACAATGAATGATAGATAACAAGCTAATATGACTCTCTAATAGCCCTTGGACTTCACTGTTGTTCTTGTACAGAAAAAGAATGACAAACTACGATTTTGTGTAGACTACAGGAAATTAAATGCTGTTATAAAAAAGGATGCATACCTCTTATCCCGAATAGATGAAATGCTAAATGCATTAGCAGGATCATCATGGTTCTCCACCCTAAATCTTGCAAGTGGATATTGGCAAGTCGCTATAGAATCACATGATAGAGAAAAGACTGCTTTTATTATCTGCTATGGTATATATAAATTCAATGTTATGCCTTTTGGGTTATATAATGCACCAGCTACTTTCCAATGACTAATGGACCGAGTCTATAATAGAATCATATAGAAGTTCATGGTTGTATATTTGGATGATACTATAATATTTTCCTGAACATTTAATGAACACTTAGAATATCTAAAAAGAGTGTTTTTGCAAATTAGAAAAGCAGAACTAAGACTAAACCTTGAGAAATGTAACTTCTGAATGAGAAGCTTACCCTTTCTTGGTCATATTATTTCCTCACAAGGAATTGCTCCTGACCCTCAAAAGATTGAAGCAGTAAAAAAGATACAGCCTCCTAAGAATATAATCTAGTCATGATTATTTTTAGAACTAGTTGGATACTATAGACAGTTTATCTAAAGCTTCTCTAGTATAGCAAAACTCCTTAATCAACTTCTACAAAAAGATGTTATATACAAGTGGAAGGCTTTATAGCAAGATACTTTTGAAACTCTAAAGAAGCATTTGACTATAGCCTCAATCTTGGCTTACCCTGACTTTAAAAAGATATTTATTCTAGCTACTGATACCTCATACTTTGGATATAATGCTA